CCTGTACCGCCCCCTCATGGCCTGCCAGGTCCAGAGGGGTGTCTGGGGCCCCCGTACGGCCTCCATTTCTGCGTCTCCATCCCACACTCTGCCATTGCCCCCTTTAGGGTTTCCCCACACTGCTGGTGGGTTCCATTTTGTCATGGTGCTGTATGGGCCCCCCATTGCTGCTTGCCAGGGCCCCCCTAAACTGCCATGGGCCCCCGTACCAAATCCGCTCTGCCCGGCCTAATCTGTATGGGGCCCCCGTACCGCCTCCTCATGTTCTGCCAGGGCCGAGTGTGTCATGGGTCCCTTTTGGCCTCCCATTGTGCTGTCTCCATCGCCACACCCGCCTGTGCCCTTTCGGTCTCCTCACACTGCTGGGGGGGTTCCATTTTTTTCAAGGTGCTGTATGGCCTCCCATTGCTGCTGCCGGCCGTAATCTGCCTGGGCCCCGTACCGCTCCTCATGCTGCTGCAGGCCCGTAATTGTCATGGGGGCCCCGTCCGCCCCCCTATTCTGCACTAATATAAAGGCTCTTTGAAGCCTAGAAACATCCTTTTTACACGTTAAATTCGCAGCGAATATATTCGCCTCGAATCGAATTTATTCCGCGAATTCGCCGAATCAGCCGAATCGAATTTTTGAATAATTCGCTCATCTCTAGTAATGAGATACATACTTGGAGAGATGAGGGAACGATAGCTCAATTAAAAAGGAAAAAGGTGAGTGAGAGGAGAGAAGGAAAATACAAGTAGCAATAGAAGAGCAGGAGGGGTAGAGAAAGAGAGAGAGTGAGGTTGGGGGGGGTAACATGTAAAATAATGTATTGAAAAATGAGCTGTATGGAATGATATTCCGTGGGCTCTTCTTTTTTTTATCTGTTTGTAAATTAAATTAATAAAAATATAATAATAAATAATAAAAAAAAAAGAACTACTTGCAGAAGCTAAAAGAACATGCCCAGATATCTCAGAATTCCAGTTTAACAACTCTTTTCATATCGTACCATTAAGCTATATGCAGACAATATTATCCTTTTTTCTAACCAACCCTGCTAAATCTTGCCTGCAACCCGCAAAATCTTAATAGAGTTTATCTTGATCTCACATCAAGAATCCTTGCTTATAGATCTAAGTCTTCACCCCAGCTCTAAACGCAAACTCCAGCACCCCCATTCTTATACTTGGAGTGAATAGGGAATCCCTTACTTAGGAATACGACTACCGGTAGTAGCGGAAACGTTACAGTTGATACATGTTAACTATCTTCCCCTTATTGATAAAATTGCCAAAGAAGCCAATGGTATCGCTAAATTCAAATTATCCTTTTTGGGCCTAATTGCTTCTTTCACAACTCTACCTGTTCCCCTCAAAAGCAAAGATCTGCTAGCTTTAAATTCTTTGGTCAAATGATTTTATGAAATACTAGAGCTAGAAGTACCCAAACTTTGCCTATTAAACAGAAATGCAGGAGGTATGGGTATGATAGATATCTATGACTACTTCATAGCTACACACTTAGCTCGACTGAAATGTTGGTTGAGCTAACCTTATGCCCTGCTGCATCACTCAGGTCTCTGCTATTAATTGATATTTGGAAACCCTATTCCTTAAAACTTTTACCAAATACAATACAAGCATCCATAATACTTTGGAGATCATTTTGCACCTCAACTTCTACCTCTCCTTACACCTCATTGATCCCTATCCCTCTCACAGTCCTTGAGTCCCTTATTCCAAACATAAACATAAGTCACTGATATAAAAAAGATACTGTTACTCTCAATAACCTTCTTAACAAACACTACCTTAAACCCTTTGAACAGCTTGAAAGAGAATTTAACTTAACATAAAAATATTACTATACATATCTCCAAATATCTCACTTTGTTCACTCAGTTAAATCCTTTGAGATTTTTTAACCCAACACAAGTGTGGCAATACTGTAATACCTTTCCTCACTTGGCTAAAGGTATCTCTCTTTTCTATAATTTTCTCCACGACAAACTAACCTTTTGCAAATCTTCCCCATACTTAAGATGGGAAACTGTTTTAAGGGAGACCTACACCACCAAACAATGGCAACAAGCCTCCAGAGTGATATGGTTATATGCATTAACCATTGGGAGTTGCCTCCATAAAGGATATTAAGGTTTCTCGCCTCTCAATCTACATTATGTTGGAGAGCATGCTGATCTGTCGGTCTTTTGTACTTTCAAACACCTATTGAGCTTCAGGAATAAAGTGTTCTATACTATCTTGGATATCACTGGTATTCTTACCTCACCATCTCCGGGCATGCAATACTGAATTTAGAAATAGATCGCTTCCCACTTACAAGTCGCAAAATTGTTACTCATATTCTGTTAACTCCAAGATTACCAATAACACAACGGTGGAAGTCGAATCTATCTCCTAATGTATCAGAAGTCATAGAGACGGTTATACAACATCATATGTATGAAAGTATGTTAGCTTATAAAAAAGGAAATGGGAAATTATTTGATCATCAACTGAATCTGTGGAATGTCTGGATTGTGAAGCACTAAATCTGTGCAATCTCATTTGATGATTTTAAATTCTCTACGCAATTTCTTACTGTGTATACCAAGTAATATTAGATCAAGCTAGCTACATTGTTGTATGCATACTTTGTCTAGTGTTTTTTCTATATTGTATGTAGACAAGCTACACAACAATACTCAGGTATTAACTGTCTGTATTGATAATGTAAGCCCTCTCAGGCCTCCATGAAACATTCCTGTCCTCTTGCTTTTTCTGTTGTACTTTACTGTACCACCCTTTGAAATCATTAAAAATCAATGAAATGAAATATTTGCATGTTCTGACTATTAAACTTTCTTCTGAAGGTTACAATATTCTATATGCTTTTTTAAAGGTACTAATATTTACCTTAGACCAGCGGTTCTCAACCTGGGGGTCGAACGACACTTTCACAGGGGTCGCCTAAGACCATCTGAAAACACATATTTCCGATGGCCTTAGGAACCGAGACACCGCTCCTCTATCCGTCTCCAGATGTGGGCGGGATGACATGCCATCCCTGTCATCTGGACACACCCCCGGGATCAATCCTTCCTCCCCCCACTGACACCTACAATGGGGCACTATTCCTCCCCCCACTGACACCTACGATGGGGCACTATTCCTCCCCCCACTGACACCAACGATGGGGCACTATTCCTCCCCCCACTGACACCAACGATGGGGCACTATTCCTCCCCCCACTGACACCAACGATGGGGCACTATTCCTCCCCCCACTGACACCAACGATGGGGCACTATTCCTCCCCCCACTGACACCAACGATGGGGCACTATTCCTCCCCCCACTGACACCAACGATGGGGCACTATTCCTCCCACTGATACCAACGATGGGGCACTATTCCTCTCACTGACACCAATGTTGGGGCACTATTGCTCCCCCTGATACCAATGATGGGGCACTTTTCCTCCCACTGACATCAGTGATGGGACACTATTCCTCCCACTGACACCAATGATGGGGCACTATTCCTCCCACTGACACCAATGATGGGGCACTATTCCCCCCACTGGCACCAATGATGGGGCACTATTACTCCCACTGACACCAATGATGGGGCACTATTCCCCCCACTGACACCTATGATGGGGCACTATTCCTCCCACTGACACCAATGATGGGGCACTATTCCTCCCACTGACACCAATGATGGGGCACTATTCCTCCCACTGACACCAATGATGGGGCACTATTCCCCCCACTGACACCTATGATGGGGCACTATTCCTCCCACTGACACCAATGATGGGGCACTATTCCTCCCACTGACACCAATGATGGGGCACTATTCCTCCCACTGATACCAGTGATGGGACACTATTCCTCCCACTGACACCAGTGATGGGACACTATTCCTCCCACTGACACCAGTGATGGGGCACTATTCCTCCCACTGACACCAATGATGGGGCACTATTCCCCCCACTGACACCAATGATGGGGCACTATTACTCCCACTGACACCAATGATGGGGCACTATTCCCCCCACTGACACCTATGATGGGGCACTATTCCTCCCACTGATACCAATGATGGGGCACAATTCCCCCCACTGACACCAATGATGGGGCACTATTCCTCCCACTGACACCAATGATGGGGCACTATTCCTCCCACTGACACCAATGACGTGGCACTATTCCTCCCACTGACACCAATGATGGGGCAATGTTCCTCCCACTGACACCTATGATGGGGCACTATTCCTCCCACTGACAGCAATGATGGGGCACTATTCCTACCACTGACACCAATGATGGGGCACTATTCCTCCCACTGATACCAATGATGGGGTACTATTCCTCCCATTGACATCAATGATGGGACACTATTCCTCCCACTGACACCAATGACGTGGCACTACTCCTCCCACTGCAAAATTACAGTTATGAAGTAGCAACGAAAATAATTTTATGGTTGGGGGTCACCACAACATGAGGAACTGTATTAAGGGGTCGCGGCATTAGAAAGGTTGAGAACCACTGCCTTAGACTATCATTTTGGATCCAGTAAGCTTCTTACACTTACACTTGCGATCAAGATAGTTTCTATTATCGAGAGAGGCCTTAACAGTCTATTCAAATGCCATGCTCTTCAAAGGGAACTTGTGACTCTGAAAGGCAGCATAGCCTTTATCCAATAAACTTATTTTGCAAAATCCCAAACTCCAGCCTTTACCTTTAAGCACTCCCCCCATATCTTTATTCCCATAAAGAAAAAAGCTGGCGTACTCACTGTCATCTGTTCACCCTTTCATCTCAACTTTTATCTATGATTACAGATGAACAAGGTTGATACTTTATTTTGATATGTAAGCTAAATAACATACTATGTACTTTAGTTAAAGTATATGCAACAAATGTTAAACAGGTATCTTTCCTCAACAAATTAATGAAAAAAGTTAATGCCTGTGTGAGATGGGGAAACAGCTCTCATTGTTTGAACACTGTGTGGAAGTAAATTAATGTTTTGACTGACATTCTGCAGTTTAGCCACAAGTTGTCACTGTTTTTCTAACACTGCCTCAGACTGCATAGATATTTGTATATTCATGAAGAGGTGGGGTTTTGCACACAGGGTTGGAGAGAACAGGAAGAAGAGAGAGAAGCCATGTTTTGGAGCATGGTGAATAAGGGAACGTGTGAGCTGAGAATCTGATGACATCCAGGTGTGAACGCGTCCCTCAGTAACCAGAGCTGCAGCTCAGTGAAGCTGATGAGATTGCTGCCAGGAATGCTGATGAGATTGCTGCCAGGAATGCTGATGAGATTACTGCCAGGAAGCAGATGAGATTGCTGCCAGGAAGCGGATGAGATTGCTGCCAGGAATGCTGATGAGATTGCTGCCAGGAAGGTTGATGAGAGCAGAGGAACTAAGCAACATATACGGCAAGACCGCATGCTTGTTGGAGAGACATTTGTTCTGTTCAGAGTCACCAGCGCATGCAAAGCAGACCCGGGTCGGTAAGATCGTGCACGCACCTCATTTCAGTGTTGGCGCCTTGAGACTGAGTCCAGGCCTATAGTTAGTTAGTTAGGGTCTCTGTTTTGGGTCAGGCCACAAGTGTTACTGATTATTGGAAGGACTCCACAACTTAAAGTGACATTTCACATTGGAGAGCTGATAAAATCCTACAAACTCAAGCCAGACTGGCGTTTTGCTCAGAAGGAATACTCAGGCACGTGCTACAGGACCAGTTATGGGAGAGGAAATACTGTAGATTTGTGTAAGATTGTAAGCTGTTGTGCTGCACCGCAGGCTAGCCCATACCGTACTCCCATACACTGATTCCTGCTCTTTTAGGGTAATAACAGGTAAGGTGTGGCAGCTTATTTGTGCCCGCCAGTAGGTAAATTACTTAACTTTCTACCTTCATCCATCAGAAGGTACCGTGTTGTGCAGCACAAGGGTCTCAGCCTTTGGGCTGGGTGTATGTAAATTTATTGTATGTTTCCAGCATTTGTGGTTGTGTTTATTTGCCACATCTAAGTAAAATTCTGTTGTGGCAAAAGCTGGTGTTGGGGTTGCTTTCCTCGTTCGTGACTTCACTGTATCCTGGGGAGCCCACCCCAGTACATGGCTTACACCTGTTGTCAGGGCCTTCTTTAAATGGGAGGAAACTTCAACTCTGTCGGAGATCCTGCCCTGGACTCTACTGCCCAAACTAAAAATTCGACCAATTCCGTTAAAAAAAAATTATTCACACAGGACCTGTTTGACATTTGACGTAGCCAGCATGGCACAGAACGTGATTACTCCTACTACTTCAGCAGTCCACAACTCCTATTCTAGGATAGACATGAAAATGATAGACTGACAAATGAATACTACAAAAAATACAGGCATCTACCATAGACACCATTACATTGTCTGATCATGCCTGTAACAATTAGCGCCTTGGATCGACTCATAGATAACACAGCCCTGTTATGGAGACTGAATATAACTTATCTATCAAATCCTAAATACACTCAACTAATCTCAGATGCCCTAGATTTATATTTCTCCACCAGTGATACCAGAGAAACTAATTGTTATACCCTATGGAATGCACATAAAGGGTTTATGTGGGGTATATTTCTTAAATTTGGAGCACATGCCAGAAAGCAATGCTCCCAGATGCTTTACCAACTTATCCAGAATTTGAGAGACCTTGAAACTCACAATAAGTCTTTCCCTTCCACCCAACTGATAAGCTAGACTAGCACTTCACAACTTTGTAATCTCACAACATAACAACTTTATCAAATCTCTTCAAGCCAACTCCTACGCATTAAATAATAAAGCTGGTTCTTATCTAGCAAGGCAATTAAGATCCAAGAGTATAACCACTAAAATTCCTTACCTTACAGATCCGGTCATATCTGCCAAATTTACTAACCCAATCTTATAGCTGAGATTTTAAAATCTTATTACGCATCCCTTTATGACCTCAAAAATGACAGCTCCACCCCACAACCTGCCGCAGATTAAATTTTCCACTTCTTATCCACCATTAACTTGCACACCCTGACACCCTCACAACTTACACAGTATGTGGATCCAGCACAGGGTTCATTCTCCAGTTGCCGACATCCCAAAGCCTTGAAAAAGCCCCCCACTGTAATTGATTTATTGGCTTTATGCGGTGCACCGTTGGCACTAATTTATGCATTGGGTTATCATTTGACATCCAATGTTTTTGTGAGATTTTTTTCCCAGTATCAATAAATCCCTATACATACCTAGATCTATATGTAGCCCATTTAGTATTTTGTCTAGATTTTGACAGGATTTGTACTGCCTGGTTAATACTATGTGCAGAGAGCCTGTGGCAGCTGTGGATTACATATATATACATATATATGGGCAGCACAGTGGCTAAATGGTTAGCACTTCCGCCTGGCAGTACTAGGGTCGTTGGTTTGAATCCCAACCACGGCACCACCTGCATGGAGTTTGCATGTTCTCCCTGTGCTTGCGTTGGTTTCCTCTGGGTACTCCGGTTCCTCCCACACTCCAAAGACATGCTGGTAGGTGAATTGGATCCTGTCTAAATTGGCCCTAGTATGTGTAGGTATGAATGTGAGTTAGGGACCTTTGATTGTATGCCCCTTGAGGGTTAGGGACTGATGTGAATGTACAATATATATAAAAGAGCTGCATAAATTGACGGTGCTATATAAGTACCTGAAATAAATAAATATATATATATATATATATATATATATATGTGTGTGTTTTCATCATTGAAAGCTTCTTGTGTTGATATACTTCAGTTCAGCAAATCTACTCCTTTTTGCTTTTGCCCACATATAAGAAATTTCTTACATTTTTTACTTTTTTGATATTTTATATGATATTGATTTGCTTGACAATTTGTACTTTTAGCTATGAGGCTTATAGTGCAGTAAATGCCTATGTTGTTTTTTACAGATCCATTCTTGGCTTTTCAGCCTTTCAAGTGGTTCCGTTGTCCTAATTGTGGTGATCCCAATGTGAGAAATTCACTTGGAGGGGTTGGTCTTTCTCCTTCCCTCATGAGCCAATTTCCATCAAGTCCTGGTGCATCGAGGTGTCGATGGTGAGCACATTAATAGAAGACTATCCTTTGTGTTTTCTACAATTATGGCGTGTTAAATTACAAAAAAAAGTTGGATGGTATGTAGGACATACTGTATTTTTTGACTTTGTGATTTTTAGTGATGTTCTTGTAAATTCTTACCTATTTCCACTATATTCTATAGAATGTTTCTTGGTCATCCTTCTTCTTCAGCTTACCCATGAAGAAAACTTTGTTCTGAAATGTGTCTGGTTTTTCAGCTGAAGCTTACTCTCCCTCTTTTTCTCCTGGCTCACAGAAGAGGGTGAACAACAATTCTCAGCCTACAGGAAGTTTACAGGCGCTTTCAACATTTTTTCTAGGTATGATTTTAATGTCTGTACAATGTGTCAAACTATGATGTTTCACAACTATTTTGTAATAAAATTATTCACGTCTATATCACTTGTTTTGAGTTGCCTTAAAAGTCCCAGTACAAATTGCTGGGGAACATATTTATGGTACTCACAACTTACATATCTCTATCTACCTAAAAATAATTGACTCCCTGCCATTAGTTAAAATCCCTGGCATAGATGGTTTCCCGAACAAATATTACAAAAAGTTCAAAACACAGTGCCTCACCTAGTTAATATATTTAATCTAGCTAAGACATCAGATACCTTTCCTGAACTGATGCTTCAAGCAGTCATAACAACTATCCCTAAACCAAAGACAACAGAATTCCTAGCAACTATAGACCCACATCCTTCCTGAACTCTGATATCAAAATATATGCCAACACACTAGCGATGAGGCTAATAGACATCCTACCAAACTTGATTCATCCAGATCAAGTAGAATTTATCAAAGGCTGTCAAGCCAACAAAGCCACATGTCGGATGCTACAGTATATATACTTAGATACTCAAAACTAAATAAACACCCTACAATATTTCTGGCCGTTGATGCTAAAAAAGCCTTTGATTGGGTACACTGGGGGTTCCTAACAGAACCACCCTTGCTATTATATTATCAATTGTGTGCACTCATGTAGTCACGTTTGAAGGACCATATGGGGTATTTTGCATTCATGACCGAACATGTGAATGAAT